GTCTTCCCCTGACATCTTTCACTGAGCATAATACCTTCGACGTCCACCCATGTTGTCACAAATGCAAGATTTCATTCTTTTTCATTGCTGAGTAGTATTTCATTATACGTATATATCTCACACCTTCTTCATCCAGTCACCCATGGATGGACACTTGGGTTGCTTCCGTATCTTGGCTACTGTAAGTAACGCTTCAATGAACGGGGGGTTGCAATCTCTTTTTGAATTAGTGTTTCTGGGGGCGCCTGGGTGGCGCAGTCGGTTAAGCGTCCGACTTCAGCCAGGTCACGATCTCGCGGTCCGTGAGTTCGAGCCCCGCGTCGGGCTCTGGGCGGATGGCTCGGAGCCTGGAGCCTGTTTCCGATTCTGTGTCTCCCTCTCTCTCTGCCCCTCCCCCGTTCATGCTCTGTCTCTCTCTGTCCCAAAAATAAATAAACGTTGAATTAGTGTTTCTGTTTCCTTCAGGTAAATGCCCAGCAGAATTGCTGGATCCCATTGTATTTCCATTATTACTTTTGGGGGGAACCTCTGTACTGTTTTCCACGGTGGTTCCACCAATTTACGTTCCCATCAATAGGGCCCGAGGGCTCCCTTTGCCCCACATCCTCGCCAACACTCGCTCGTTCTTGTCTTTTTAATACCACCCCTTCTGACAGGTGCGAGGTGGTATCTGAGTGTGGTTTTGACTTGCGTTTCCCTGATGACCAGCGATGCTGAGCATCTTTTCATGCGTCTGTGGGCCATCTGTGTGTCTTCTTCGGAAAGGTGTCTACTCAGGTCCTCTGCCCGTTTTTTCAATGGATTTGTTCATGGAACATCTTGGACCCACTTTGTCTCCACTCCTCATACTTGTTGCAATCTGTTTCTGCTGTTTTCTGAAACCTGTCTATCACACCGGGGCCAAGCAGGAAACGCTGGGAACTCCGTATAAGCCTCACTAACTGACTTTATTAGTGTTTATTCTTTATTTTTGACTGAGAGAGGGCGAGAAAGAGTGAGCACGCAGGCACCAGGGAGGGGGGTGCCGAGAGAGGGAGACAGAGGGTCTGAAGCAGGTTCTGAGCTGTCAGCACAGAACCCGATGCGGGACTCGAACTCACGAACTGGCAGGTCATGACCTGAGCCGAAGTCGGACGCGTAAGTGACTGAGCCCCCCCGGGCGCCCCTCACTAACTGACTTTTAATCACGCCCCTGGCCCAGCTCCATTTGAACTCCGGTTAAACCAGGGCCCACACTTGTTTTAAAGCTCTATCGACCTCATGAACGTCTTAATACTTTTTGAACAAGGAACACTTCGTTTTCATTTTGCACTGGGCTCTGTAAATTCTGTAGCCCGTCTCGCCTGCCACCCCCTTCAACCTGATTCCCTGTGCATTCATTTTGTCATAAGCTCTTCAAGGGTGAGGTGTATCATAAGGAAACAGCCTTAGAGTAGCTGAAGGAGGTAATAGGGGAACAATCCAGCAAGTAGAGGAACAGGTCTGGGGCGTGTAGAGGGCGGCCCTCGTCATCGCCGCATCCTGCCCTCCAAGTTCCAGAAAGGGACAGGGAGTTGGATTCTATTTAGCAAAAAGCAAAGGGCGAAACCGCTCTCTGGTCTTCGGATGCATCCCTCGATGGAGGGCCATATTTCTGAAACCCACGAAGGATAAACGTCATCATGCCAGATTGACTTCAAGATGCTTTACCACAATGTCAAGCTTCCTTCTCTGCATCTTCGAGGCCCCTCCCCCGGCCCCGGGGCTCAGGCTGGAGCCTGGCAGTCTCTCGGCACAGGCGGGCCCTGTCCCTTTTCTGGAGACTTGAAGGTGTCAGGAAAGATGTCCTCCGGGTGGCTACTGCTCTTGAACACGGCACATTTCTTCCGTGCGGTCCTTGAAAGCCCCTCCCAGGCATTCGAATTTGAGAAACCGAGAAAACCGGTAAAGGTCTTATTAATGTATAAAACAGAAATTCCAAGAGCAAAGAGCAGTGGAATTTTTATAACACTCCCTCACCATTTCCCAACAGACCCACAGACACAGCACAAATGTATAAATGGAGAAAGCCTTCAGGTCGGATCTGATGGTCTTAGACCCGGGGCGCCGCCAGTGATTTATGGTGACGAAAGAGGACAAACCAGAGAGGTAGCATAACTGGCCAGGATCACACAGCCAGCAGCAGAGAACCAGGGATGCAATCCTGTTCTTCTAGTTCTGGGGCTGATGCGGAGGAGTCAGTGGGCTGGAGAGAGAAAGGTCAGAGCGCGACGTTGCAGGAGACCCAGCTTCGGCCCCAGAGCCCCTGGGGGGTCATTCCCAGGCCCAGGCTGCAGTCAGTGGGGATCCTGGCCCCCTGACAGCGCAGAGTCAAGAGGGGAGCGGGCCAAGGACAGAATACAATCCATATTTGACCTGAGGCATCAGTAACTCTTAGCACATTCGTGTGGACGCTTTGATGTTGTCACGCTTTCCTTACACGTGTTTTAAAAACCGTTTTTATTGAGCTGTAACTCACATACCAGGCAAATGACCCATGTACTATGTTTTTTTAGTATATTCAGTTTCGGTATGCTTGGTGTGTGCACCCAGGCAATTTGAGAATATTTCCACCACCTCAGAAAGAGTCGTGCACCCTTTGCTGTCCCCTCCGGGTCCCCCCTGCCCTCCCCGTGGGTCTAGGCAACCAGCAGGCTACTTTCTCTCTGCGTGGATGTCTACACTCTGGACAGTCCACGTAAATGGAAACACACAGGGGCGCCTGGGTGGCCCAATCGGTGCAGCGTCCGACTTCGGCTCGGGTCACGATCTCACGGTTCGCGGGTCGGGCTCTGTGCTGACAGCTCGGAGCCTGGAGCCTGCTTCGGATTCGCTGTCTCCCTGTCCCTCTCTCTCTCTCAAAAATAAATAAACATTAAAACAAATCAAAGGGAAACACACAGTACGTGGCCTTTTCTATCTGGCTTCTTTGGCTGAGCATCGTGTCCTCGAGGATCACGGATGACCGTGTGGTAGCAGGTTCCCTCCTGCGGCTGGACAGCAGCCCGGGTGAGGCTATGCCAGCCTACGGCTCTGCCCCGGGGCACGTCCGGGTCCTCGGCATGCCCATGCTTTCCACCCCCCCCCCCCGTGCCCTTGGAATGACGGGCGGCCCTCTGCTACGGCTGGAACGGCCTCCCTCTGGGACACTGGGGGTCTGCCCTGGTCTCGCCTGTTGGGCCTCCCTGGAGGCTCTCCCGACATCTCTCTCCCTGAGATATCTCTGGCGGCCGGGAGTTTGCCGAGTCACGAGACCCAAGCAGCGGGCCTGTTGACACTGTGGCCCGATCTTCCCTCTGGGCCTTGCTCCAGACAGGCAGCTCCCAGCCTGGCAGGTGGGCCACAGAGCTATCCTGAGGCACAGAACATCCTGTCTCCCAAAGCCGAGGAGCCCGGCCCGACGGCATGCTTTGGGCTTCGTGGCGGGACGGGCAAGGCACAAAGACTGGTCCTTTGCTTCGGAGGGACGATGCCAGCCTGTCCCAGGTCATCCTGCAAGATGCGCCCGTGGGACAGGCTCCGGAATCTTTCTAGGGCTTGGCCCCTCCCCTTGGAAGGCGCGTGTCTTGCCAAGGCATCCAGAGAACCAGTCCCTTCTTGCTCGTGGGATCCGAGCAACGTGCTGTCCCGTCAGGGCCCAGGTCTGGTCCCCGGGCTCCGCCCGCCACAGGCCATGAGGCGCTTTATAGATGCTGCCACGCGGGCCTTCGACGCCCATGTTTCACTCTTAGTGGCCGATGAGTAGATCTGAGACATCAGCTCTCCTCCTGGAAGCTGTTGTCACGCACCTGAGGGCTTTACTGCGGTCACTTCCCCGCCCACCGTCCCCGCCTCCCCTCCCCCACACCCCACCCGGCTTGCCAGGCAAAGGCCCTTCACGTGCAAGGGCCACGTATCTTCCCCCCGCATGTGCCGGGGTCCTCCCTGCTAGCCCGTGGGGGAGCCTTGCTCTGGAAACTCTCATCTTTAGAGTCTCAGTCCTCGGACGCCTCCCCTAGACCCCCGGCTGAGGTGTCGCCGTGCACATGCTCTAAGGAGGGAGGGTGCCCCGGGAAGCGGACATGGAGGGAGCAGAGGGGGGAGCTCCGGAGAAGGGACTCCAGAGAGCGAGGTACGGTGGGGGACCTGGGCAGGGAGCAGGGGCCCACACCGTGCCCTGCTTGCGGTGACACTGCGCTGGTGACAGCTCAGCGTTTCCCGGTGCCCGGGAGGGTGGAGGGGTCCCAGGGTCCACACCAGCTCTGCAAGGCGGTAGGGACCAGGCCGCCATATAAACGCAGTCACCACTCAGCAGGACTTGTGGGGAAGGGGTGGGGGAGGGCCCCCTCCCCCCAAGACGCATCAGTTCCCATCTCATCTGCCAGGGAGGAGGGGGCCACGCGGCTCTGCCTCACGAAACCCCGGTCTGCAAACTCAGCCGAAAGCCCTCGTCCTGTCCTCCTACCCGACAGCCTGTTGGCCTCCCCTTGACCATGGCCAGACCCCAGGGTCATGAGCTGGTTGCTTCTAAACCTGATCAATCAGCAGTCACCGCCGAAGCTCTTTTCGGACCTTGTGGCTTTTTTTGGTTTGGTCTGCAACTTAAAACAAAAGCTGAAAGTTAAGGGCGCCTGGGCGGCTCAGCCGGGTAAGCGTTCGACTTCGGCTCAGGTCATGATCTCACGGTTGGTGGGTTCGAGCCCTGCATAGGGCTCCCTGCTGTCAGCGCGGAATTTTGCCCCTTGCCGGTGGACAGGCCAGCAGAGCTTCCTGCGGACGATGGGACGCGCCCCGGGGCCAGGCAGCCGTGGCCAGGAGCCGGTGGCAGAGGCAGGCACAGCGGGAGCTCCGGCAGGTTGGCGCCTCTCAGCCACCAGCCAGGGCCTCAGCCGGGGGGGTTGGGATTCCCCTTGGCAGGATGCTCTGCGTTCTCGGAAGAGTAACACAAGGAGGAGTGCCGGCCCACGGGCGGGGAGCTGGATCACGGGTGTGTGCAGGGGCAGAATGTGCCAGGATGCGCCGGCTCTCACCTTGCCCAGCTGCCGCTGGTGAGTCGTGGGGGGAATTGGGGGGCAACCTACTACTCTCCCTGAGTCACGTGAGTCCCGACAAATCCCCCCCCCCCGCCCTCTGGGGCCCCCACCAGAGCCCCAGTGTGCAGGTAAAGGGGCTTCTCTTAGACTCTCTCTCCTTCCAAAGAGAAAAACAAAGCACGAAGAGGGACCTGAAGTATCTCCTTCTCGGAAGCCTGATAAGGGACTGGAGTGGTGGCCAGAGCCGTGGACTCCAACAAGAGGAACATTACATGGCATGTGGCATGGGGGGTAGGCCTGTCCCCGCGCTGGGTCAGCGTCTTGTGGAGCTCTGTCGCCAAGGACTCCCGTCTCTGGGCCAGCTCCACCTCCCAGGGGCCAGCGCAGGCAGGTGCCGCGGCCATGTCGCTGGGCGGGGTGGGGGGAGGGGGGCGGGTGTAGAGGGCAGTGGTTCGAATCCACCAACACCACCGGTAACACACGGCCACAGGCGGGGATTTCAGCTCTCCCAAACCCCTTCTCTGTCATGGGGAATCATAATGGGAACTTTTTAAAAGGCAGTTTCCGGAATTGGGAGAGGGACGTCTGTAAAAGCTGTTAGTACAGCCCCCCACAAAATGGGAGGAAGGGAGGGAAGGAAGGAGGGAAGGAATCTAATCTGAAGCAACATTGTCAGAGGGAGAAGCCGTTACCTGACCGTTCTGTGGCTAAAGGCCCTCCAGGTCTGTCCCCTGACATTCTGTGTCCCCACCTCTCCAGAGTGGCCTGGATGCCTAAGAAATGTGGCTTGGTTTCCAAGCAAGACTTGAGAGATTTTTCTGTGTTCGTGAACTTTCCTCCCCCTCCCCTCACAGGGGCTCTGCAGGGGAGGAGGGGGAGGAGCAGGAAGCGAGGGGAGGGGGCGCCACGTGGACTTGGCCTTTAGGCAAGTGGGAGGGGCCGACCCCCAGGCTGCAGTAGCCCAGGGAAGGGTAGGGGCCTGACGGGGATCATTGTACCACCCTTTGACTTAAAACCCAAAGTCCTACAGCGGGATTCCCACCCCCACAGGTCCTCTGGCTCCGCCCTGCAGACCCCCAGGAGGCAAGGAGGCCTTCAGAAAGGAGTCTCCGGAGGCAGGCCAGCCGTGCAGACCCTGACATTGGACACGCAGCCCAAGTTCTCCATCTTTATCCTGCAGAAAAACTGACGTCAGTGCGAGTTCCCCGGGGCGGACACCAGGGCCTGGGGGGTGGGGGGAGCCGTTGTCTAAGGAGCACAAAGCTTCGGTTTTGCAGGAAGTTCTGGAGGAGGACACACAGCAATGTGAATACCCTGGGCGTTGCTGAACTGCCCGCTGGGGCAGGGCAAAGACTGCCGGTTAATTCAATTCGGTGTTTGGTGAAGGCCCAGTGGTCCCTGTGTCCTCATGTGCAGGGGAAAGAGAGGGGGTGGCCTGGGGGGGGGGGGTCTCCTCTCAGAACACCAACCCCATTCGTGGGGGTTCCACCCTCATGACGCCGTCACCTCCCAAGGCCCCGAGTCCTGACACCCTCACATTGGGGGTTAGGATTTCGACCCACGAATTACGGGGGACAAAAACATTCAGATGGAAACTTTTATTGAAGTGTATTTAAAAAAAAATTTTTTTAACGTTTACTTTATTTTTGAGAGACAGAGACAGAGCATGAGCAGGGAGAGGGGCAGAGAGAGAGGGAGACACAGAATCCGAAGCAGGCTCCGAGCTTGAGCTGTCAGCACAGAGCCCGACGCGGGGCTCGAACCCACAAACCGTGAGATCACGACCTGAGCCGAGGTCGGACGCTTAACCGACTGAGCCACCCAAGTGCCCCCATATTTAGATACATTTTACCAGAGTTGTTAAAAAGTGCCCTGGGGAAGTGGGCTGGGGTGTCTCAGCACCGTCCTCTCCTTCAGGCACATCAGCCCCAAGCCATAAACCCACACGGAGGGGGTGGTGGCAGCTCAAATGAAACCCACCGGCCTGGGCTTATGCTTTGCCCTATAACGTGGGTCCCAGGCTCCCACACAAGGCCCCTGTCCCCACAAGGCTGCCCGTGTCTGCTGCGCGATGCCTCCAGCGTCCGGTGTTTGTAGCAAGTTTCAGCCCCGCACCGCCCCTGACCTTGTAGCAAGGCTGACGGAGCCGTGGTCCCACCGTGTCGGCTTGGGTCGGCTCCGTCACGGGGCCTGTGCATTCAGTCTCTCGGTTCAGTGGCCCGGCCTTCGAGGGGGGCTCACGGCCGCAGCAGGAGGAGGAGGAAAATCTAGAAGCACAGAAGGAACACTCTCAATGTCAACAAAATGACCGAGTGACTGTCTTGAGTGGGTAAGAGTCTATATGATTTCATTTAGTCCTTTTTCCTATCCTCATCCCACAGGTATTTCCGGAGGGTTCCATCAGAGGGGCGGTGACAAGCTCGGACTGGCCTCCAGGAAGGGGTCCTGGGGTCCCTCCACGAACAGTCCAGACGTGAACGTACTTCATCAAAGGGAAAGGGTCTGGGTTCAGGCCCCGGGGCCCGTGAGTTTGGCTGCAAAATAAATTGCCCGGACGAGAGATTTTCAAGGCCGACCTTCCATGTGGCTCAGAACGCTTACATCCACCTGGGTCAAGGGGCCCCCTGCCCCCAAACTAGCCACCAGCTCCCCCTCCCCACCTCCGGAACCGGAGCCACCCCAAACTTCTTTGCTTGTTGTGAGAAAGTAGTTGCGGACCATGAAGAAACGGATGGGTGTGGCTTCCTTCCAATAAAACTTTATGTATAAAATGGGCGCGGCCGGCCCCCGGGTTATGGAATTAAAGGGACTGGTTTGGAATCTGGGTGCAGGCACCTGGCGTGAGAGGGAGGTCATCCCAGCAGCAAGCCTGCCCTTGTCCACGAGTAGGGCCCCAACCCAACTCCCTCTGGGGTAGGGGAGCCCCCTCAGACAGTCACGGTAGCCCCCCCCCCCCAGTTCCCCCGCAAGGCAAGGAGGTGTCTTGTGTTTACAAACATCACTAATGATCTCAGGGACCAGTTTCCAGGCAGGCTCATTCCCAGAAGGCAGAGGACTGATTGTCCTGAGTCCCAGCGGGCCCCAGGGGCCTACGTGGACCCTGCTGGCCAGTGCTGAACGCACCAGCTTGAGCTGGGGTCCTGTGTGTCCCCGGGGCAGCACCGCCCAGGAGGCCTGAGACGGCTGGCCAGTCCTCGCCACCCTTCCTTTAAGGCGGAGGGAACTGTCTCCACGCTAACAGCCACCCTGGGCCAGACACGTTGGGCTGGGGGCTTCCCACGTTCATTGCATTTGTACCCCCAGTGGACGGTAACCGGGGTAAGCCCAGTTTACGTGTGCAGTTTCAGCAAGGCCAAGGAACCGGCCGCCCCACAGCGGCGGGGGGAGATCTATACACCCCAAAGCTCTGCTCTCCCTCCCTGTGGTCCAGGCTCCCCCCTCCCAAGGTGGAAACGCTGGGGACACCTGTGCTCGCCCCTGACCTTGGCAGACCTTTGACAGGAAGCCGCCTCCCCAGGGGACCCGGAGGGCATCCCTCACTGCTGGGGTTGTTTCTGGGAGTTAGAGGGGGACGAATGCTCCTAGCTGCCTCTCCACTGATCTCCCCCACCCCCCGCTCCCCCCCGCAGGCTGTTGGGAGGTGAGACTTCAGTGTCGGTGGGGCTTGGTGGGTTCCCTCCAGCGCCTCAACAGAGAGGATCTGATAAGGTTATAATAGCGCCTTCTCCATCATCTCCTCGGGGAGCTCCAAGGATGACCTCAGCCCCGCAACTACCTATGAGCCAAGAGAACAAGGCTGGGCCTCCCATTCTAGAAGGGGAAAGAGGGCACCAAGGGGTTCCCTGTGGAATAGGGAATAGGCCCCGCCTTCCAGCCCCTCCCAGGCACAGCTGGTCCCCCACCCTCACTCTGACTGTTGATCGCTAAGCACACAGCGGACACCTTCTATATGAAACATGCTTTGCTTGGGGACAGGTCCCCAGCTAGATCAGGGTGAGGGCGAGGGTGGGGTGGGGCAGCCCGCTGAGGGCCTGGGTTTCCAGGTTTTCTGTTAAGGGCAGTGCTCTGTGGAACTGTGTGGCCAGAGCTGGGCCCAGGCACACGAGCGTGTCGCTTGCAGCGGTGGGACAGTCCAGCCCGGAGTGGGGAGGGCCACCTCCGGGAGAAGAGGGCTTAGATGGGGTTGGTATTAGTGGGGCATCTCACACCGCGGATGTCCCTCAGATTAATGTGCTGAGATCACACACACAGGATTCCCAAGGAACCCACCGATGTCAAAGCACAGGTCCGCGAAAATGAAAGCCAGTGAGAGAGCATCGTACCCGCTTCTTTGTGGACACCTTTGATGGTAAGATCGGGCTGCTGGCTGCAATGACACTGCTGTTTCCACGCGGCGAGGCACCTCCACGGTGTCTCGAGCGGGAAGGGGCACGTGTGACATGAAGTGAAAACATCCGAAGGCTCGGCCAACGCCACTGAGGCTCACTGTTTGTGTTCTAAATGAGACCGTTCAAAAATTCATTCAAAGGTAGGTAAAAATAAGATTTACTTCTTTTCTCCTGAAAGAAACTTTTTTTCTAAAATGAAGAGAGGTGAGGTCAATAGGCCTTATCAAAGGTCAGGGGTGTGAGAAACACCGAGGTTATCCCGCACGCCGAAGCGTGGCTGTTGGGGTGCATGGTGAGGGGGCCCTAAGAAAATTAGAAGTGGGTTGGAATCCCCCTGTTGGAGCAGAAGACAGGGCGAGTGGGACTCCTGAGACCCTTCAGGACCCTCCCCCGTGTCCCCACAGGGAACCCAAGGCCCGGAATGGGAAAGCGGCGGTTCAGGGCCGGGATTTAGACTCGAACCCAGAACCCTTGACTCCTAGCCCGATTCTTGTCCCGAGAGGGGTCCACTGGGGTTAGCTCCCTGCATGACAGAGTCCAGGACAACGGGGAGGAGGGGGTCAGCCAGGTAGGAAGAGACCTTGTCACCCAAAGCCAGGGCAGGGGTGGACCCACACTCGGGCCAGGATGCTGGGTGCCCCAAAGCGGCTCCACCTTGGGGCGGCGACATCTGGCTTCAGAAGATGTTCTCCAGGGGAGGCCAAGGTGTCTTCAAAGATGTCAGGTTCTTCTTCAAAGGAAAATGCCCCAGGCAGGTGTGACTACATCCGTCCCTTAAACTCTGGTGGCGGCTGAGGGCCCCCCTCAGGCCCCCCTCAAAGACCCCAGAGTTTATCCCATTTCACATGTCTTCAAACACCACCGCCCCTGACCAGGGGTGCCTACGGCACCCCACGGGCCCCCAGAACAGCCCCCCAGCTCCCAGCCACACAGGGGGTCTTTGGGGCATGGGGTGAAGGGAGGGGGAAGCTTGCTGGGGCGGGGGCTCTGAGCTCCTGTCACCCCACCGGCTGTCCCCCAGACTCCACCCCTGCCCCCCACCGGCTTGCCCCAGGCAGGTCTGGTTTATGAGACCTTCCAGCCTGTCTCATCTTGTCGGACCTGGAAACCGGGCTCAGTAACACTTACCTCACAAGGAAGGTGTGGGGACCCGGGACTTGGAGCTGCACACGCCCCTCCCCCAGCCCCCACCTGCAGCCGCTGAGAGTTTGCAGGGCACCGGCTCTGGCTTCGGGGGCTTTCAGACAGGTGCTCTCGGCGGCGCGACTGGAACATTCCCAGTGTTCAGCAGCAAATGCGGAGAAGGGTGGCCGGGGCCCGGGGAGCACTGAGCTCCGCGGGACTACCCACCGCCCACCCAGCACAGCGGTGAGGGCCCCGACACGGCGAGGGGAACAGGCGGGGCACCCCCCTTCCCGGGGGACAACCTGCCGCACCTGGCCCCCCCCTCCCTGGGCGCTCTGGGCCTCTTTGTGGAAAAAGGAGGTCCCACTTGGGAGCCATAAAAACCACACGTGAGTAGTGGTGCCGTGGCCCCTGCAGACTCTGTGAGGCCGCACTGTCACTCCTCAGTCACTGTCACTCAGATGGAAGGGCGTGGAGGTTCTGTGAGAGGAACCTTCCCAGGTTTCTGGAGGGACGTCTCTCCCTCCCCTGCCCCCCGGCCACATCTGCGGGACGCCCAGGCAGGTCCTTCCGACAAGGGTCCCAAATCCCCTCCAGAAGGCAGCTCAGCTCTCAACAAAGTACCACGGGCTGGGCGGCTGTGCCAACAGAAGTTTATTTTCTCCCAGTGCTCGAGGCTGTAAACCCGCGATCAAGGGGTGGGCAAGGCCTGGTTCCTCCCGGGCCCCTCTCCTCGGCTCGCGGCCGGCCCCCTGCTCCCCGTGCGCTCACGCAGTCGTCCCTGTGCGCGTCTGTGTCCTTCTTTGATAAGGACACCAGTCAGATTGGATCAAGGCCAACCCAGTGACATCATTTTAACTTAATTACCCCTTTAAAGACCCTACATCCAAATATAGTCACATTCTGAGGGATGGAGATTTGGGGCAGGAGGACACCCTTCATCCCATAACAGTCCCCCAGCACAGTGCGACACGTCCTTCAAGGGAAGACTTCCCCCACTTCCTCCAGGAAGCCTTCCAGGCCTACAGTCCATGGGGAGAGCCTCTGTGTCCATTTCAGCCACTGTGGGGAGGGGCTGGGGGAGGTGGGGAGCAAGGGTACAGCTTCCCCAGATGAACGGACCACAGATGCGTTACTGGCTTTTGCTTGTAGCCCATTTTATTCTGACCCTCTCTGCCCTTGATTTAAAGAGATCTGGGTACTGTACCCACTTCCCTTGTATCTGCTACTTTCTCTGGAGTTGTATTTTCTTTTTTTTAATTTTTTCTTTAAGTTTATTTATTTATTTTGGGAGAGAGAGAGCAAGCAAGCAGAGGAGGGACAGAGAGAGGGAGGGAGACAGAGAATCCAAAGCAGGCTCTGCACTGACAATGTAGGGCTTGAACGCACAAACTGTGAGATCATGACCTGAGCCGAAATCAAGAGTCTGTTGCTTGACCAAATGAGCCACCCAGGTGCCCCTTTTTAATTTTTTTTTTTAACATGTATTCATTTTTGAGAGAGATAGAGAGAAAGACAGAGCACAAGCAGGGAAGGGCCAGAGAGAGGGAGACACAGAATCCGAAGCAGGCTCCAGGCTCCGAGCTGTCAGCACAGAGCCCGACACGGGGCTCGAGCTCACAAACCACCAGATCACGACCTGAGCCGAAGTCGGAGGCTCAACCAACCGAGCCACCCAGGCGCCCCTGGAATTATATTTTCTAAAAACTGACATTTGACCAAAAAATAAATAAATAAATAAAAGAAAGCCGGTCATTCTCAGAAGGTCCGGTTCCTTTGGAGACTTTTTTTCTTTTTAGAAGAACCACATTTACCCCAGGTAGAAGTCCTGTTGGAAGGTATTTGTAAAATGCAGAGCCATCTCTATGGGGACACCCTCAGCTGGACTTCATGTCTCACGGACACTGGTCAGCAACACAGAGCAGAACTCTGACCCCACGCAGCTGATGGAATATTCTCCCTACCTCCTCCCCAAGGCCATCTTTTCTCAAGGCGTCGGAAGACATCCTATCACCCCTCACCCCAGACTGGGGAGGCAGCAGGAAGGCAGGCCCCGTCTGTGAGGCACCCGGGCCTTGAATCGGGAGCAGAGAGACCCCTGGGCACCCCGTGAGACAACAGCAAGACCAGAAGGGACTCTGCGCCCTGCCTCAAAGGCACGCCAGGCCAGCCGGCCCAGGTAAGAGGGAAGCCGATCCCACAGGAGGCGGCTGACAGTCTCCCCAAGGCCCAGGACCGCCTCCTGTCAGTCCGGAGGCCCGTTGTCAACATTCGGATGGGCTTGTAATCAGGCCCCCGCTGTGGAGGCCAAGGTTTTATTGTAATGACAGCTTGGATTTATAGAGCATCCTTCTTGTGCCAAATCCTTCAGAGTTCCAGAGAGGGGCGGGGAGGGATTTAATTGGCCCTTAGCGCTGAGGAAACTGAGGCACGGGCAGGTTTAAAGACTTGCCCAGGGCAGGAAGGGATTAAAAGCCAAAGAACAGAGCTCGGATTTGGGGTTTGCCGCTGGCCGTGACAGCTGCAGAGCTTTCCTATGGGAGCAGCGGGCCACGGGGGGTGTTGGGGGCAGGTCCCAGACGCCCATCTCCCCTGACACCCACACTGTACCACCATCACACCGTCCCACACGGGCACTATGCCCACACACATTCACGCACACATGTGCACACACCAGTCATTCACAAGCTTACAGGACAAAAGCGGACAATCCCAGTTTCTGGCTGTGTTTCCCTTCCTACTCAAGGAGGGGGTGTAGCCATTGGGGCTGTGTGTGTCCCCGAGGCCCTGGCTGGTCCCCTCCGAAGCACGAGCCTATGGACATCACCTCACAGGCGCCGGGCTGCCACCGCTGGCCACGGGGAAGCCACAGGGGCCACCTGGGGAGGGAAAAGGACACTGAATAAATGGGGTCAGGAGACCAGGCTCGCCATGAGCCGGCGTGAGACCTCACGTACGTGAATTCGCCTCTCCTGGCCATCAGAGCAAGGGGGTTATGCCCTGACGGGGGGCTTCACCCTCCACACCCTACTGTGAACCTCTGGAGGGACGCCAACTCTAGGGCCGGAGCAAGAATGGTACCGGTCGGACCTGGGGCTTCTTTGGGAGCCATAAAACAAAGGGGCAGTCAGGCCAGGTCAGGAGGACAAGGACAGAGGGACCGCAAGAAGGAACTTCATCCGCCAAGGGAGAGGCAGGGGGAGATGCAGGCAGTGAGCGGAGCTCTGGCTTTAACACAGGGTTCAGTCAAGAGGACCCGCCGTGAACCATTTCCCTGCCTTCTGTCCTCAACCGTCTTCAGGGACAACAGGAAATGCACTGATGCCCAGCTTGCTAGGGGCAGGTAACCCCTTCTCGCCTTGGGGGCGGGTGGGTAGGAGAAGCGTCCCGTGTCCCTGTTCCCGTGCCCGATGTGCGGCCTGAGCAGGAACAGAAGGACGCAGAGAGCTCCAGGACCCCCAGGGGGCAAGGCCAGCGGGAAGCTGCCACAAGTGATACGTTGGGTGCCGGGACCGGGGTTCGGGAAGGAGGCACGGCGCTGGCACGTCCCTGTAGGGAATGGTCAGACCCCCGCCACAGTGGGTTCACCATGCATTTGATGGCGTAAGTCTGCCGCCCTTGATTTCACGGTGTGGCAAGCAGCTCTACGCTTGTGATAAGCCCTTTGGGCCATGATGAGCTTTAAAAAATTAAGGTGCACGTTAAATCAAAAGGTTAACTTACCGGATTGGCGTTTTTCGAGAAGGTCGATACGAATGCCTCACTGACACAAATCGTTTGTCCACGCCGCTCCACTCCGAGCGCCGTGAGACCACGGACCGTGTGAGGCCCAGAGGACACGTTTCTGCTGAGTCAGCCAGCGCTCACCTCAAAGTTAGAGACCCTCTTACAACTCGCTCGACAGACCGAGACTCGGTGCGTGCGGCTGGTGTGGCCGTCCTCTGCGAGACACGGCGTGTATCGAGTGCGAGTGACAATTCCAATTAATTTCATCTGTTTTCCTGCTCTCGTGTGCATTTACAGAACGTTGTAGCTGGGATGGCGTTGGCTCCAAGAGCAGAATTTGGCAGTGAAGCGATGCCAGGTTAAGAGAAGCATTATCAGCCGCTTCAAATAGAAAAGCCAATTAAGTTAATCTGAGTTAATTGCCTCGTTTTCATTCAAAACATTAAATAAAAGTAAAGCTCTGAGCATTTATTCTGCTGAGGATGTGTCTTCTGATGTTCTTACAAGTGCTAGATGTAAATGCAAATTCAGTTAAACCGTGGCTATTGATGAGGTCATTTGTTGGTGTTGTGCTAACACCCAGACAGATGTTGATGTCATTCGGCATTATGGAAACAGGCGCCGTTATTAAATTAGGAAAGTGTGGACCGGAAATGTAGCTGGAATTTTTTGTAGTGAACACATAATTCATAAATGAGCCTTAGCAAGCTGCAACCCACCTCCAAATGAAATAGACACTTCTCTAAAGAAGACATCCGGATGGCCAACAGGCACACGAAAAGATGCTCAACGTCGCTCCTCATCAGGGAAATACAAATCAAAACCACACTCAGATACCACCTCACGCCAGTCAGAGTGGCCAAAATGAACAAATCAGGAGACTATAGATGCTGGCGAGGATGTGGAGAAACGGGAACCCTCTTGCACTGTTGGTGGGAATGCAAACTGGTGCAGCCGCTCTGGAAAACAGTGTGGAGGTTCCTCAAAAAATTAAAAATAGACCTACCCTATGACCCGGCAATAGCACTGCTAGGAATTTACCCGAGGGATACAGGAGGGCTGATGCATAGGGGCACTTGTACCCCAATGTTGATAGCAGCACTCACAACAATAGCCAAATGATGGAAAGAGTGTAAATGTCCATCAACTGATGAATGGATAAAGAAATTGTGGTTTATATACACAATGGAATACTACTTGGCAATGAGACAGAATGCAATCTGGCCATTTGTAGCAACGTGGATGGAACTGGAGAGTGTTGTGCTAAGTGAAATAAGCCATACAGAGAAGGACAGATACCATAGGTTTTCACTCTTATGTGGATCCTGAGAAACTTAACAGAAACCCGTGGGGGAGGGGAAGGAAAAAAAAAAAAAAAAAAGGAGGTTAGAGTGAGAGAGAGCCAAAGCATAAGAGAGTCTTAAAAACTGAGAACAAACTGAGGGTTGATGGTGGGTGGCGGGGGGGGGCGGGTGGGTGATGGGCATTGAGGAAGGCACCTGTTGGGATGAGCACTGGGTGTTGTATGGAAACCAATTTGACAATAAATTTCATATATAAAATAAAATAAAATAAAAAGTAAAACCAGCAGATCTCAAAACTTACAAACCTTTTGACATATGCAGAGTTAGAGTAACCGAACAGTAAAATTTCAGTGACAGAGCTAACACAGTTCACAAACAGGAACTACTTTTCGCGGTGATACGCCCCCTCCCCCCAGAGGGCCATCATCGGCCAGGTTTTAGAAACACGGAGCCTTCAGAAAGTCGCTCACGAGTCACGCCAAATGGCTTACGGTGATGCCAGATTTGTGGGTGTGCGTAACTGGGTCCTCCAGGCTCTGGTTGCATTTTGTTCAAAATCAGTTGGAACTCTTTGATCAGACTGTTCAACAAATACATGATCAAAAACTGCTTCTTTTGAAATGTTTGACAAATTGTTTCAATTAAAAAAAAAAAAAGATGGGGGCGCCTGGGTGGCTCAGTCGGTTAAGCGTCCGACTTCAGCTCAGGTCACGATCTCGCGGTCCGTGGGTTTGAGCCCCGCATCGGGCTCTGTGCTGATGGCTCAGAGCCTGGAGCCTGCTTCGGATTCTGTGTCTCCCTCTCTCTCTGCCCCTTCCCCGTTCATGCTCTGTCTCTGTCTCAAAAATAAATAAACGTTAAAAAAAATTTTTTTTAAATAAGAAATTAAAAAAATTAAAAAATAATAAATAAATAAAAGATGGCAAACAGAAAGACTATTAAAATGTATTGCTGCGACAGAAAGAAAGGAAATGAACAAATTGATGGTGAGTGAGAATGAGTTTGGAATCCTGAAATTGCCCTTTGGAGTATCTCCGTGTATGAGGTGAATTTTTGATAGAAGTCACTTTAATCGTGTAGACATATATACACCCGTATATCTGTATATGTATATATACTATGACAGTGGAATAAAATTGAGTAGGCTTATGATTGTCAGCATATACATCTGACAAAACATTCAAAAAACCCTTGGACACATTTTGCCTTCTAAAAACATTTATGAGAGATTCTCTGGATGGAAGCCACATCGGAGAGCTTATGAAAATATCTGGGCTGAACACCTTCGTTTCCAAAGCACTGACAGGGTTCTTTGAGCGGCACTCATCTAACGCTGGCTCACCTGACCACATCGGGGTGTACAGAGAAGATTCCATTTAACTCATCGGCAAATTCGAATACATCAGCCATATCGAATATGTCTTTGTGAGGAAGATTCCAGGCGATTTTATGAGAAATTAAAAGTCAGGAGGCAACTCTGAAAATAATAGATCCTTCTGAAAAATGCCACTAACAAGGCAAAAAAAAAAATCACATAAAATTAAAAACTAATTGAAGAAGGTGAACATTTATCGAGAATTATTATGCAGCAGGTAGTTGCTCTTTAATATCCAGATAATCAGTGCAAACTTTTTTTGATTTAATGTAACAAACGTTATCTTTATTTGGCAGAAAGTAGTGAATTCTTTCTCTGTAAATGCAGTTCTCGCTTTATTAGAAATGACGATTGCGTAACATCGTTGTGGTCTTTTTCTTGTCTTTCTAAGCTCAGATTTGGGGCAGAGCAAATACACTTTCCCCCAGTTTTGTCAAGCGATAATTTATATCTAATAAAATCCACCCATTTTAAGTGTGCAGTTTGCTCAAGTCGGCGATCGTTAACAGTCATGTAACATTACCGCAATTGAGATCCAGAGCATTTCCATCACTCTAAAAAGTTTCTTTGTGGGGGAGCTTGGGTGGCTCAGTCAACTGAGCGTCCAACTTCGGCTCAGGCCATGGTCTCACCGTTTGTGGGTTCCAGCCCCACATCGGGCTCACCGCTGTCAGCTCAGAGCCTGGAGCCTGCTTGGGATTCTGTGTCTCCCTCTCTCTCTGCCCTTCCTCCACTCACACTCTCTCACTCTCTCCCTCAAAAATAAATAAACATTAAAAAAAATTGTTTTAATACTTCAGCAAAGAAGAAAGCCAAGGAAACAGATGGCCAAAGCAAAGGTACAGGGTCTTGGTAAACGCTGAATCTGGAGGTCAGGGCCAGGCACATTACATTTATTGTCCTTTTCTATTTTTTAATTATTTATTTATTTTGAAATTTACACCCAAGTCGGTTAGCATATAGTGCAACGATGATTTCAGGAGTAGATTCCTTGATGACCCTCCCCCATTTAGCCCATCCCCCCTCCCACCACCCCTCCAGGAACCCTCTGTTTGTTCTCCATGTTTAAGAGTCTCTTATGGGGGCGCCTGGGTGGCGCAGTCGGTTCAGCATCCGACTTCAGCCAGGTCACGATCTCGCGGTCCGTGAGTTCAAGCCCCGCGTCGGGCTCTGGGCTGATGGCTCAGAGCCTGGAGCCTGTTTCCGATTCTGTGTCTCCCTCTCTCTCTGCCCCTCCCCCGTTCATGCTCTGTCTCTCTCTGTCCCAAAAATAAATAAATAAATTAAAAAAAAAAAAGTCTTTTATGTCCGTCCCCCTCCCTGTTTTTATATTATTTTTGCTTCTCTTCCCTTATGTTCATCGGTTCCGTGTCTTAAATTCTTCATATGAGTGAAGTCATATGATATTTGTCTTTCTCTAATTTCACTTAGCATAATACACTCCAGTTCCATCCACATAGTCGCCAGTGGCAAGATTTCATTCTTTTTGATTGCCGAGTAATACTCCATTGTATCTATATACCACATCTTCTTTATCCATTCCTCCATCGATGGACATTTGGGCTCTTTCCATCCTTTGGCTATTGTTGATGGTGCCGCTATAAACATGGGGGTGCATGCATCCCTTCAAGACAGCACACCTGTATCCCTTGGATAAATGCCTAGTCGTGCAATTGCTGGGTCGTAGGGCAGTTCTATTAAAAATAGAGGCACCTCCGCACTGTTTCCCAGAGTGGCTGCACCAGCTTGCATTCCCACCAGCAGGGCAAAAGAGACCCTCTTTTCCACATCCTCACCATGCATTTACTTGTCTGCCCACTTTTGAATGGGTCCGAAATCTCTTCTAAAACGAAAACAAAAGGAGGGAAGAACACGGGACTTCCGGGCGGTGAAGCTGGCCTGTGTGATGCCGTGACGGTGGATGTGCAGCAGCATCACGCCCTCGTCTGGACCCACAGAACGAGCAACACCGAGCGAGCCCCACTGTCAGCCGTGGGCTCTGGGTGCCGAAGGCGCATCAGTGCGGGCTCAAGTACCATAGCAGGTGCACCTCTCTGGTGGGGAGGCTGACAGTGGGGGAGGCAGTGCGGGGGGCCCGGGGGGGGTGTTATACGGGAGCCCTCCGAACCTCCCCCTCAATTTTGCTGTGAACCTAGAACTGCCTGAAAATTTTGTCTATGTTTTAAGAAACCGAAACAAAATGAATACATAGAGGCACAGGCAGGTGATCAGTTCTGGCCAAGGAGACACAGAGACCTCCTGGGGGCTTCGGGGAGAACACCTGTCCTCGAAGGGGAGCTCCTCTCGGAATATTGTGGTCTGCATCTGATGCTAACAGCGGCCGCTGTCTCAAGACGGTCGGCGGAGCATCCTGACGTAAAGCACAAGCCAACCACAGGGTTGGGGAGCAGACAGGGGTGGACCTGGTCCTGTGGACGCTGCTGAGCCACAGAAGTGACCCGCTTCCTGCAAAACTGGGTTCCGGAAGACCCTGTTCCCTGCTTGTGAGAGCGGTAAGTTTTTCCTATGAAGCTGGTGCTGGCTGGGTTTTTCCTGTTGAGGTATCACCTCTTTTGGCACCGAATAAATCCGGCGAGTGTGCAGGTCTTTGGGGATCTTGGTCCAACCACTTCGTAAGTGGAGGAATGTCTTCCTTGGCTCATGCTTCCAGCTCCTCTGCGACGCCAAAGTTATACGCATCCAACCGGCATCTATTTAAAGTTGTCTATTCAAATCTACGTCTAAGGGAGGGGACAAGATAAACAAGTGACAGTCCCAGCCCCTCCGTGGCCCACATTC